TATTGTTACTCAGTCCTCTTGATCTTATCAGAGTCGCCCTCTTGCTCCGTAGGATCCGTCTGCTCTCTCCATGGTTCATGTATTTCACTCGACCCCTACTACCCCATCTGTGCCACTCAATGCATTATTAATGATCCCCTGCGTCTGGGTGACTAATTCGAGGCTAAAGCATCTGAATACTTCTCATGGTTAAGCCTTAGCTACATGGGCAACGTCAATGGTAAAACACGTCTATTGGTAGCCAAACAGCTCTAGTTTCCACCGCGTATATCCTGTGTACCCACCCGCAAATGTTGTGGTTCAACATTGAACCTAATCAAAGCAGGTGGTACCACAACACTTGTGGGTTGGCACACAAGAGACTAAGACATAGCAAGTCAGACTTGGAATTAGGGATAAAAACGGGATAGACGCGGTGGAGACTGGAGCGAGTTGGCTGACAGTAGGCCTGTTTTACCAGAAACGTGGTCCATTTAGCAAGAGCTTGACCATGAGACTAACTCAGAGGCTTTAGCCTCGAATCAGTCATCCAGACGCAGGGGATGGGCAATAACACCTTGGGTAATACAGATGGGGTGGCAGGTTTCGAGTGAATCTGGGAGATAGCAGATGGATCCTACGAGGTAAGACAGAGGCTCTGATAAAACCTAGGGGAGGACTAAGTAACAATATGGCAGATTCTGATCAACATTCCCAGCACAAGGGCGGAGGGGTGTGAGAACGCCAGTGTGGAGTTTGGAGGGTTCTCATGAAATCCGCTCAAAAGGGCTAGATTTAAATAAGCAAGGAAAAAATTGTGATAGTGAAGACGTGATACGAGGATATAGGAGAGCTGAATAGCCCAGGAGAGATATCACAACTGTTTAGCACACATTTGGTCAATGGATCGGCTTCACTTATCTATTTGACGAGTTGTAGTTTGGTGCTAAGACTGGCAAGACGATGCCGGTGAAACGTCTGGGAATGTACGACGTCCACGGACTGACTTTGGCAATTATCAGGCATACAATGCACTCCTGACTCTTTTTAGGTCTTACTAGCAATATGACCAAGTTGCGAAAACAAGGTCGAACAACTTGCATATTTTTATTTTAAATTAATTTTCGGATTTGACTGCATTGAACCTAAATGTGATTGGTATTTATTTATTTCCTTATTTAAGACTACCTACATAATGAACCAAGCTTTTGGCCGGTCACAATTAATAGATTAACATTCGCGAGAAAGACTAAGTCAAATGAAACTCTTTAACACGAAGAAGAATTACTAGAGGTTGATTGAATTATCATCCTTGTGTAAACTCGCTTGTCACCACTTATTAATATGGAAGTATCTAATATGTTCTACATAAAAAGACGTGTGTAGCTTATGTCAGCGTCCTGGCTTTCTTTCCAACTGCGATATTAGGTTATTTTTCCTCGATCTTTTCTCCCAATTTTTTCCTTTTTTATCATTTATTAATTTTGGTAATTATATGCATCATATACATATATATATATAAATATAATGTTTACTCTTTTATTGCTTAATTTGCGGCGTTCAGGGAGTCTGGCACCCATCATCGGGATCTGCTGTCCAGGTGGCCGTTAAAGTGATACATCGCTCCAGCCTAAATTTCTCCGACACTAACTCGGATCAACTCAGCCTCAACTCGACCTCATCACATAGCCTAGATGGTTTTCATCGAAATCATGTCACCAGTGTTTCTACAAAGTCTCACTCTGTATCAACACCCCTTGGTCGGTTTCTTAAAGAGATTTCCATTAGCCAGTCACTTTTGCACCCGGATATTGTTCGCTTCTACGGCGTCAGTTTAGATCTCGACTCTGTAAAGTTGGTGAGTCCCCTTCACTAATCGTATATATTTTTTAAAAGTATAGTACTTTTTAAAGCAATGCAACAAAAATATTTTGAAGATATGAGGAAAAACTGGGATTTGGAAAATTCTTTAGTGATATGACTTATGAGTTTCCACAAGGAAAAATTCGTTGGAAGGAATTCGTGAAGTGACCGGAACCCGAAGAAGGATTGTCGCGTAGGGAAGACTGTTGTATTGTGCGAAGAAGTCATCGGCTCACAATTCTGCGACCCCGATGAAGTTGTGCTAATTTTTCATCTGTACTGTATTTCGTACTTTACGAAATAGAGCAAAAATATACTAAACCATGGGAAAAGATTGCCGTCTGCAACCTTAGTCGCTTCCTTTATAGACCTTACTTTGCGATCTCAATTTACAATCTCATGATCTGCTTGGCCGTCTTAAATGTACTCAGCATGCTTGCAGACGAGCGAAGTTACTTCAAGAACCAAAAGTGGATTTGGCGGCAACTGTTTCTTTACACAAGTAAACTAGCGTGCGATTATCTGAGGTTAAATCATGTTTGAGTTTGTGCTATTTTCTTTGGTGTGTATGTAATGTTTGTGTCATAAGAGATGTGATAGTCCTAGCTAAACTCGAGGCTAATCTAGTCTACTCTTGCTCGATGGCTCTTACTGCTCTCTCCTTAAGCCTATCCAATGGCCAAAAATATTTCCTACTCAATTTTTTATGCTCGTTCCTTCTAT